ACAACATTCTGTGACCTGATAATATTCAGGTATACATCACATTTGATAGAATTTTATTAATGTTGCACCAGACTGAATGAAAAAAAAACTGAACATCTGAGTCCAAAGAGACTCCAGATTTTCGAATATTCAAGTGATTTTACAGCATCCCCCCCCCTTTTTATTGTTTCCCTGCTATGATATTCCCTGTGTTCTCCTGTCTTCTGGTATTCCTAACTCAAGATGTGCTTAGTAAAAGCCCTGCTTCCACATCCCTAAGGACAGATCAGCAGATTTATGGAGGTATAAATGCTGGCTGCTATGTTGCAGTTCCATCATCGGATCCCTTTTCAGGGGCCAGAGCTTCACACTGACTTATGGATACAGAATAAATAAAACATCTCTCCCACTTTGCCAGCCGGGGAGCAGTGTTCGCTTGAGTTCCTCGCATTACAAGCAATGAAGTGAAGCATCCAAGGTACCGGACCTTTAAGGTTGACTCTGTTTTGTTTTATTTTTTTTATCTCAAGAACCTAAAGTTTTATCAATTACAGTTTAGCACTGAACTCAAAACAACAAATTCACCATAACTGACGGCTCCTTTGGCTGCTTGCTGTAGATAGTCGACCTGTGGTTTTGCTGGATTGATTTCATGAAGGGAAATCTGGAGGGTCTCCTGAAGATGGAGGACATACTTCTCGGTTCAGCTTCCAGAACAAGTCTCATACGCTTAAAGGAAATGTTTCTACATAAAACCCTCCAAACATCCCGTGAGATACAAGCAGATAAGATCTACTTTAACTCATTCCCATCACTCTTCCTGGGAGGAGTTTCTCCCTGTAAACATGCAGTCAGCTGTCATTAGAGCAAATTACTCTTGTGTGAGTACAGCTAAAGATGATAAACGGTTGTGTGCAACTTGTGACACTACACAAGGAAAAAAGTCTCAAAAGCAGGAGATTTCAGTGGATAATTTGATATTTGACCTTGCACGTTCAAACAATTCAAAACTGCAGTTAAGTTTTTTTTATATCAATGTGTAATTTATCATTTTAGTTATGAAGGAACAAGCACACATGTAAGCCAGAAGTGCAGATCTGACTATAACTAGTCAATTAACTTTGAAATTGCATGATGAATTTGTGGTGGAACTAATATGTCTAACAAGTTGATAAGCAATAAATGCAACCTTATAGATCTGCATCGATGATTTTTGGTCTGTACATTTATCAGAAGGCTTTCAGCTCACGTTAAGTGTTCTGACGCCCTCATCTGGTCGCCGGAAGTACTTGATCCACAACCCTAAAATATATATTTTTAAAAAGAAAAATATATACATATGTATTTTACAATTATTTTCAGTTTTTTCTCACATTTCCACATTTAACAAAATGCGTATCAGTTCAAGGAACAATAAAGCGCACTGATTTAACAGTTGTATACAAACACTGTGCATAATGGCTATGGTTCTGCAAGGATGTAATTAACAATGAGTATTAAAATGTGTTTTAAAGGGGAATAAAGCTGCCGAAAACAAATATATTTTAAATATCTGTAAGTGGAAAGAGAAAATTCCTATTATTTTTTTTTTATAAATTTATATTTTTATGGTCACTTTCGCTATGTGGTCACTAGAGGACGCTCGTAAATTGCATTGTTGCACAACCTCCTGGCAAAGTCCGACTTTGTCAAGTTAGCGGAACTACTGGGAAACTCATCTTTTGCTAATTCCCAAATGTGCGTTAAGACTGCGTCATTTTTCTTTAACGGGTATTACCTTCACAGTGGTTGATATTTAACGAATAACAATCGCATGACATTTATAAAAAGCGACACACACAACAAACAAGTTAGTAACATTCTGAGGTTTTATTTTGAAAGACCTAACCGGAAATCTTTAGCAGGATGTAGCTAGCTTGAAACTGGTAGCTTTGGGATAGGCCATCATAACCACCGAACAAGGCGTTTTGCTACTATGGGGGCGAAATACCAATCTGAACCAAGAATAAGGACGGTTCGGGTTTAGCTCTCGCTTGAGGTAAATGTTGAAAAATCGCCGGAAAGTCGATACAAGTGGGGAATTATTGTGTATTTAGGGGTTTTAATGTGAACGTTGACGTCGAGCCGTGCGTAATAAGCAGAGTTAGAAAGAAGGTGTTGAGCTGCATTTTTTTCTCTCTCTTTCCTCTCTTTGCCACAGATAAGTTGGATMGGAGTGCTGACGAAACTACGATGTGATTCGAAGGAAATATAATGCCCACGAAGCTCTCCACTCTCGGGTAAATATGTTTTTTTTTTTCAACAGTTTGCTTCGCATCCTGCTTGAAGTAAATTGCGGTTTCCGAGAGGGGTAAAAAGTCAAAGCGAAACGGATAGCTTAGCCTCCAAGGATATGCTACTAATTACAAGCCTGCGGTGGGCTCCTCTGGCTGGGCGACAGAGAGATATTTGCTCATTACTCACAGTGCTTATCTGCAGCTAAAAAACTGTCCACGTATTTATTTCTTTGGTCGTAAAATGACTTTTAACCAAGCCGAGGCTTCCGTTTAGCAGCGGTAGCCCACCAGTTTGTCCAAAGAGCAACAATAGCTCCGTAGGCTAACAAAGCCGTTGCAAATTATTGCTTTCTTCATCCTTATATCATCAAAAAGAGCATCTGTTTCAGCTCGTGAGGCCAGACTGACAGAAAAGTTTATATTTTGGATTTTTACTTTGAAATTGACCTACATGTTGCTGGTTGTTTCCTCAGTGTTATCAGGCTATCATTGCATCCACTATCTGTAAATAAGGCTTTTGATTACATTTACTATTGCCAAATGATGCTCAGTGTATATTTAAATGTTATTTTTTTCCTGTTGATTTTTGGTTTTGAATTGTGTATGGATCTTTGTTTCTTTCCCTGTCTACATTAAGTACTTTTTTGTTGCATAGTTTTCTCATATGAGTTTGTGTCACCAGTTCTTTAACTGCAGATGAGCCATATGCAAACTGTGATAATCATTTAGTAATCACTTAAACTGTGTGTGCAATCGTCAGCCGTTTATTAATCCAGTCTCACAGGACCTGTGACCGTGTTCATGTCTTATCTTTTGGGAACTGTACTCCTCAGCTGCGGTGTTTCTCATTTTCCCTGGTCAACTATTTGTGTCAGTGTGTYCTGTGACATATTGACCTGTAATTATTGAATTTACATGCTCAGAAGCCTATACCCGGCATGAAAGAAAGACTTGCATTCTGCAGAGTAACTGATGAGCTGGACTTTGACCTGAAAGCTGTTTACGTTGGTCACTTGGATGGGGGACACAAGAAGGAGCATTGACATCTCTCTTAAAATAGGCACTCGTTTTTCTGAGTGGCCATTCATTCCCTGAAGATCAGCTGCCAGGCTGTTTGTGTTGTTGCTTGTTTGTGRACACTAAACAATTCTGCAATGAAAATAAGTTCCTGGTCAGTGTTGATTTTCACACAGACAGGATGACATTTACCTGTTATTCTTTAGTTGCTTTAGGTTTAGAATGTTCTGTTTAACCAAGGTCTGAAAGAAGACCGCGTGTTAATCCTGTTTATGAAACAGTGTGAGTGATCTGTATTGTTTGGGTTGTGGCCTCCGGAGCAAAAATATAATCAGCTGATGGCGCACTCAGTGAAATGTCAAATATTCAGCAGCACCACAATTTATATTGTTGATTGACGCAGACCAATCCAGAGGTTGTTCATTGTGAGTCATCATTTTAATGTTGTCTGTTCTCCAGTCTCTTCTGATTCATGCAGCCTGTTATCAGGTAAATGGCGTGATTAGAGACCAATTTYCATAATTACTAAAAGATATAGCTGATTTTTTGCTTTCTACTTCTGAATGTTGTCTCCGTAATTATCATCATTTTAGCTAGAAAGGGCATTTTGTGCAGTTTTTTCATTCACCTGCAGTTCATCTTGTAGGATTTATCCAGTGACACSTCGATACCATGGAGGTCACTGTTAGAAAGTTCTGGTTTCTGCACATTGCTGTGCTCTCTTTTTTTTTTGTCCCCTTTTTTATATCACCTCAGATTGTATCAATTATTTCTATAGAGTCATACATTTTATATTTGYCAACTGTATTTGTGCCTTGTAAAGCACATAATAGCCACATCTTACAGGTCRTGTAACAGGTTTTGTTACAACTAAACTGTGAATTTTTCAAACYAAATGAAAACATTACATTGACTGAATGTGTTGGAGCATGAAAAAGCACTTTGGACCCGCTCTGTGCTGCAAATGCAGAAGTGTCTGGGTAACGACATATAGTTCACTGTTACCGCAGTTTGATTGTGACACAGACTCTGCGATTGTTCTTCAGGAAATTAATGCTGCTGCCACTGAGCCCAATAAAGACATCCATTAAAAGGTGGGCACAACTTGACTTCAGTCRTTGAAGCGAAACAGTTTGGGCCTCTAGATTGATAAGCTGGTTTATAATTATCAGGAAAATAATGAAAATAAAACCCTCTTTAATCATCATTCAAAATGTCAAACTGATTCTTCACCTCAGTGTTTATTGTTGAAGTCTTTTCGAGACCAACCAGAGTATTTTTTGCATGAGTTTCTGTGAATGAGTTATGGTGAATAGAGTGGAGGGTTTAATGATCCTGAAATTTCGTGCCGCACACAGGAAAGGGGGCTTGCCTACCTGCGTCTTTCCATTTTCTCCTGCCATGATGAGGAAGTTTGCATAAATGATTGATCGTGCCTTGTGAGTCATTTGAATAATACATGGATCTTGTCTTAGTGTCGACTATTTTTGTGGAATAATATTCATCGATAGGCCACGACTTTGTTTTGTAACCTCTCGATAGTGCCATATTTATATTTACTTAGGTATTTGTAGTGAAACACAAGCTAAAAAAGGTGCAAGGTGAGCGATTTGAAAGAGTGCATATGTCTGTGTGTTCGCGGAGAGATAGGTGGGGGGCAGGGAGTGTCTCCTGTCACCTCTCATTAGAGACGCATAGTCCAGCTCTGCCGGCGTCTGCCTTCCTCCGTCTGTGACACTGCAGCTCACTGTTTGGGCCTAAACTGCGCTAAAGTGTCTTAATGTTGGGCTTTAGAGAGATTATAGGAGAGATGCTTCTTTTCTAAACAGAATGAGTCAGGTCTCAGGGAAGTAGCTGTCCCAAATTATGCTTTTAGAATTCTGCATTGCAGCTAAAGTTAAATTTGGTTCATTCATTTAAATGAGTTAAAGCTGCCTGGCTGGGGAGTTCAGCAGAATATTCAAGTGATGTGTCGATTGCTTTGTTTTATTCTGTCTCTGCTGTTTTCCTTTGAGGACCTCCGCCACCAGTGCTGCCTTTTTGTTAATATCTCGAGGGCTTTTTCTTCTCTGCTCCACATTCAAATTCAATTTCTAATTTTGTCCAAATAAATTCCTTCTGATGACGCTCTTAGCTGAGGCAGTCTGTTGAAATAAAAACTTTTTTTTCTATCAAAGGTGTGTGTGTGTGTGTGTGTGTGTGTGTGTGTGTGTGTGTGTGTGTG